GACGTACTATTGGCTGTCATGTAGAAAACACTACTGACGATCTAAAGAAGCAAGCACAGAACAAATTTTTCAGGGGAGGAGGTTGGGTAAAAGGACAGACGTTTCTACATGTCAGCTTACAATATCACAAGATGGGAGGCATTAAAGGAGAGATGAAGTGGAGAGGATATATTTCTCAAAATTCATTGATTTTTTAAAAGAAAAACAATGTTTTATGGATAAACTATCTAAACTCTAATGGAATGGCAACTTCGAAATTTTTAAAAAAGGACAGTGGATTCAGCAATAGCATCACTACATCGTTCACAGGAAGAAAGGCACCAAGTGCTGGGAGTATCATGGCTGTTAATTTTATAACTAAGACCATTAAGATATAGCAGAATATTCACAATACTTTATGATGAGACAGGAAGTCCCATGAAAAATGTTTTGATTCACCTAAAGTTCTCTGATTGTCTCACGGTAAAGTACTTTTAAAAGAGCCATTAAACTTAAAGATGAGTATTGCAGTTACCTTTTTTATACCAAGGTGAGTATTCCAATTTTCTGGCCTTCTTGAGATTATACATGGCCACCAGTAAATTGCTTCCTAATCAGATAGTTTCAAAAAATAAATACATCTAATCTGAATTTTCAGGGTAAAGATCATGTTTTATCAACGAGAAAGAAAGGAACTACTTTCAGAAAGAGACCTGTGCTAGGAAGAAAGCATTACAAAAATGGATATTTAGAAATGTTTTCATTATTATATGATTATGTTGCCAAAAACTGTGTGTGACACCTATAAAAACCTTTATATCTACACTACTAAAAAACTTGGAAGCAGAATTTTTCTAACTTGGTTTAAATCTTTTAAAGAGTTTCAATAAGTTCTTGAACCCATTTGCTAACAATGTGCAACATGGTCTGATTAATACGCAAGAATGACAGATTCACATGAAGAAACTGAAAATTTACTAGCATGACTTCAATAAAAAATGCAAAAATGGTAGATAGAATTGAAATTTTTAATAAGTGCAACACTGCTCCCATCTGGATCTGCATATCTCTGGAAGATATCTTTCTTCACTGTAACAGCCCATAAATACAAATATTGAAACAAACTGAACTCAGAAGCAGACTTTTGGATCATTCTATCAAAAGATGTTAAAGTAAGGCCTTCAAAAATAATAAATGTCAAAAAATTCTATCATATTGCTCTTCCTTTAAAAATTAAAAAAAACAAACCTGTTGCCGTCGAGTTGATTCCGACTCTATAGGACAGGGTAGAACTGCCCCATAGGGTTTGCAGGGAGTAGCTGTTAGATTTGAACTGCTGACCTTTAAAAATTAAGTATATTATAAATTATAATGTATTCTATTTTAAATTTATCTCGTTTTTCTTTTTTGTATATGTTTTATAATGTGCATATTGTGTTATTATTTAGAGAGAAATTATTTTTAAGCATATAAATAAACATATGTGGGGGGTGCTCAAAGGGATTGGAGACCACTCTTAAAGGACAGGAGGCCTAAGACCTCCTGGGCATGAGAGGGAAGATGATCACAAAGATGCAAAGAAGAAAATCACTAACAAGGAAAAGTAGCAGAGATAATGGCACACATACATATGAACTGGCCAAGGAAGGCAATGCAACCGCACTAATAGAAAACTTATTCTAGAATAATTCAACCCTAAGACAATGTGAAGGAGAGAACCTCAGCAACAACTAGCAAGCAACATAAAAACCAGCAAGTGCACAACACAGGCAGGTCAACAAGCACAGCTGGTTCACTCTGACATCAAGAAACTACTAGCTATTTATTATGTGCTGGAGACTGTGGTAGGTACTGGTGTAAACCAGGAATTTGGCAGAGACTTTGCCTTTGAGAGGAGCCCTGGTGGCACAGTGATTAAAGTGTTCGGCTGCTAACCAAAAAGTCGGCAGTTCGAACCCACCAGCTGCTCCACAGGAGAAAGATGCAGCAGTCAGCTTCCATAACGATATACAGCCTTGGAAACCCCATGGGGCAGTTCTACTCTGTCCTATAGGGTCCCTGTGAGTGGAAACAACTCAACAACAGTGGATTTGATTTTGGTTTTTGCCTTTGAGGAGCTCACAGGCTAGTGGAGAAAATAAGCATGTAAATATATGATTAAAATGCAATGTTAATAACTGAATTTTAATGATCTGTTCAAGGAAAAAATAAAAGGAACTAGGAGCTAGGACTAGGAACTGAGGTTTTGCATCAAACCACCCATGCCTACACATATTTATCAATCTCTTAGAAGATCTCTGTCATTAAACATACACTGTTCTTAATAATACGTTAGATGGACTAGAACTTTATATACTTTACCTTCTACTTAAATTAAGGATAGGCCTATAGAATATACAGCAAACATAAAAGACATATATTGGGGCTCTGATGTATTTCCAATTCCCCAATACTAAAAACTGGTAAAATCCCTTAACCAAGAATTGTTTCTGTTCAGATCTAGTTGCTATTTCCCTTTTACCTGGATTGTCCCCTCACCTGAGACCCATGTTATTCTTGCTTTATGTTGACCTACACCAGAGTGTTCACTTCCTGGGTTCAAGGGCATTGTCCTCAGATTCTGCTTACTCCCTGATCAGTTACAGCATCCTCATCACCTGCATCATCAGGGAAGTGGCACAGTGGTTAAGTGCTTGGCTGCTACCCAAAAGGTCAGCAGTTCAAACCCACCAACTGCTCTGTGGGAGAAAGATGTGGCAGTCTACTTTCATAAAGACTAGAGTCATGGCAACCCTATGGGGCAGTTCTACTCTGTCCTATAGGGTTCCTATGAGTTGGAACTGACTTGGCGGCAATGGGTTTAATGCCCTTTGCACAATGACCACTGACCTTTACTGGTGACCAGGGAATGGTTCTCTTTTCAGGTGAGAGATTCTGCAGCCCTCAGACTCTCCTGAATCTCGGCACCCTGGGTTTTCTGGCCAGTCAACCTTGCACTCTATCTGCACTTTAGGGGTGGAGAGAGTGGTTTTCAAATGCTCTCCCCCTTGGTAGAACAGCTTATAACCTCAGTTTAAGTCTGTGCACTAGCATACTTGCTGGCAGCAGTGCTAAGGTTTCCAGACCTGCAGCACCTCAGAAATTTTACTGTTTTAACTATTTCAGACAAATAGTCATGTCAGCTATATTAACATTCACTTTAACCTTATGATTGAAATAACACTTAACAAGAATTTTGACCAGTATCGTAATGTAATTGCATAGCTTGTAGAAAGCCTGTTTCCCTCCCATTTTTCAGTGTATATACTATACTGTGCAAGTCCAATTTTAGCCCAACTGACATTTTTAAAGTGTTTTTACTTTTGTACATAAAACATCAAATCAAATGTTATTATCCAAAGAATAATGGATTTGTGTTTTAAAACAAACACTTGTAAGTGTATTCAACGAGTTCATTCAAAAAAAAATGTGGTGAACACCCACTATATGCCTAGATGTCTACTAAGTATTAGAAGTATAAAGATCATCCCTGCTCTTTGGAGCTCACAGTCTGGTGAAGGGGACAGTCATGTCAACTAATAACTGACACACAGGGCAATATGATAAGGAAGACAATTCCCAGGACACCTCTGCCTGGGAAAGCAAGGGAAGACTTTGGAGAAGAGGTGACACTGGAGCTGAGTATCAAAGGATAAACAGGAGTTTTCCAGATGAACAAATGAGGAAAGAGCATTTCAAACAGAGGAAAAAGGATGCTTACAGAGTACAGAGGGGAAAAGCAGCACGAATGCTCAGAACTACATGTACATTTGTAGAAGTAGTGCGTAGGGAGAATACACGGGTGGGGAGGGAAGAGGCTAGAGAACAACAGGTGTGAATCTTAAAGAGCTTGTACACAGGGAAGGCATTTGGCCCTTACTCAGTAAACTCCAAAAGATTCCAATCACGAGTGGTTCACAATTAGATTTGTGCTTTATCAGATCACTTTGACTGTGGTTTGAGAAGTAATTTGGAGCCCTGGTGGCAGAGTGGTTAAGAGCTCAGCTGCTAACCAAAAGGTCAGCAGTTCGAATCCAACAGCCACTCCTTAGAAACCCTATGTGGCAGTTCTACTCTCTCCCACACAATCGCTATGAGTTGGAAATCGACTCAACAGTAACAGGTTTGACTTTTTTTTTGGTTTCAGAAATAATTTGGAAGGGGCAAAACTAAAGGCAAGAAAATCCGATATGAGGCTCTTACCCAGTTCAGCACAGAAATGCTGAGCCTGAACAAAGGAGTGACAAGACGATAGGAAGGAGAGAACAGATGTAAGAGGCATTTCAGAGGTAAAATCAACAGGACCCGGTGACAAGCTGGACATAGAGTGTGAGTGAGAGCTGCATCTAGAAGACTCCTGGGTTTCTGGTTATAACCAAATCCTCCTCCCACAAAATCACAGCTCCCTAGCTGTGATGCCATCTGCCAACTTTCAACCCACAGCAAATTTCATTTTCAAAGGAGAAACGACAAATAAACAGAAGTAATTTCTAACTTATAGGGTATCAGACCTTAAATTCGTTAAGTGGCTACATACAAAATGACAGAGGTGGGAACCAATCAGGTGAATTAAAGTATTTAAATCATAAAAGGTTTCAGTCAATTAACCATCAAAAGCTATAAAGTGTCAAGCATAAAATTCAGGGTGAATAAATGAAGTCATGGTGAGGTGATACAATATTTTGCGGGAACTCTGTACCCAAAGCAAATATCAACAAGTCAATTAGTAATGGCTGAGTCTCCATATGCCTGCCACAGACTGGCCAAGCCCACAACAGGACATAATGAAATTCAGTGTCTTCTCCCAATGGGCTTAACTTCCGCTCACACTCTGAGTCAGAGCACAGTTCCTCATAAATATTTAACTTAAACTGCAAAGCAGAAAGATCAACTTGTCACATTAACACCAGGAAGTTAAGTTGAAAATCATATAGTGATATCCTCCATTTTAATTAATATTCTACCATTCACACTTCTATTGCTTTTTAAAGATGGTTTTATGTTAGATATTTTATAATTACACTTAAAAAAATGCTGTCCATATCCACATAAGTGTGCAATTTCAATTGTTTTTTGACAAGGGAAAATACATATATTTTGGTTTTTTCTGGTACAAAACATTGATTATTATTTGCCTGTAGTCATCTGGACTTAAGATGTTGATGAGTCTTCATAAAGAACTTCGTCTACCTTCATGTCACTTTCATCCACTGGGACCTGGAGGCAGATCTGTTCTTTGAAAGCCAAGGCCATGGTGTAGGGCTTCACTTCCTGCTGCTGCAGACAGCGCTTCAGGTAGGTGTCATAGTAGCCCTTCCCCCTCCCCAAGCGGTTGCCATGTTTGTCAAACCCAAGACCCGGCATGAAGATGAGATCAAGTCCCCCTGCAAAAAAGAGCAACAAATTTAAGAGAGTTAATGGAGTTGTCATGTGTTGGAAACAACTCGATGGCAAGGGGTTTGGTTTTGTGTGTGTGTGTGTGTTTAATGTTTTCTGAAAGTGATTGATAACTTCATGATCTGGTTTTTGCATTTTTAATGACATCCATTCTTTCTCTGGGTGATGTAAACAGTTAACACGATCGTCTGCTAACCTAAAGGTTGGAGGTTCAAGTTAACCCAGAGGTGCCTTGGAAGAAAGGCCTGGTGATCTATTTCCAAAAAATCAGCCACTGAAAACCCTATGGAGCACAGTTCTACTCTGTAGGGTCAACTTGACAGCAACTGGTATTCTTTCTCTGATTTCTAAAGTAATATATGATCACTGTTGAAAATCCAAAAAGCACAGAGTTGGACAAAGAAGAAAGTAAAAATTACTCAGTAACTTAGTAATTCCATCATTCATCCTTCCAGCATTTTTTTTTTTTAATGTATAGATGTACAAAAATGCCAGATTCCCAGGCCCCATCCACACCTAGTTAAAGAAAATTTTCAGAGGTAAGGACTAAGAACTTTTTTTTATTTTTTAAAGCATCCAGGTGATTCTAAACCCCTGTCAGGTTTGGGGTTTGGGAAGTAATGTCCCAGAATAATGACAGCTGGAGGAGTGGGAGAGGGCCAGGAAGGGGCTGAAAAGGATGGAGCTGTTCTCAAAGTCAATGAGCAGGAAGGGGCTTAGCCATTGAGAAAACAAAGCAGTTCAGACAGTACTACCCCTCTTCACTTCCCCTCCCACTACAGAGGCAGAGCCAGGTTCTCAGGCTTCCCCAGATTCATGCGAGCAGGCTCTGACCTACTCAAGGACATTCCAGAGGTACAAGATGGGGTCCTACACCCAGTCCTCTGGCTGGAGCCCTCATGGGTAACACTGGCACCAGAACTAGCCACTCACCAGGACACAGCAGGCTGCTGGAGCTCAGGGTAGACGGCAGAGTCCTGGAATCTATAACAACCCACCACAGTGAAAGGTCTGCACGAGTTCTCAGGAAAAGGGCAATAAGGATCACTAGGTAGAGGAGCTCCACAAATTTTATGAGGCCATGGGAAACATCCTCCAGCCTCTGGCAGGGAGCATGACGTACCAAGACTAGCAGAAGAACCAGATTACACTTGCAACTCATGGTCTGCCCTGTGGCCTTCCTGTACTGAGCCTCCTTGACCTCCTGAAAGCTACCCTATGACCTTTAGCTTAGTCATGGGCTAACCACTCACACAGCATCGCCGGCAGGGACAAATCGGAGTAGGAAGCCACAGATTCTCTGGAATGAGGTGCTCAGGGTAGAGTTGTTCAGACTGGCAGCGAGGCTGGCCCCTGCTATCAGCAGCTGTTCTCACTACCTGAAGAACTGGGAGGTGAACCCAGCTTCTGCCTGGCTCCCATCGCACACCTGTCAACCCCTGCCTGCCAAAATCCAGCAGAGCATGTCTCAGGTTACAGTCATGACCTTCTCATGTAAACCTGCTTGTAGATTTTGATCCCAACTTGCTAAAAGGCCCTGGTCACTGACTTGACTCATTGTCCTTGTCCAGCTTATTTGTCTCTCTCGGCACTGACACTGGCCTGTGCACTTGGAGTTTGCTGCCTCCACATCCTCTTCCTGTTGCCAGGATACCCTTGGGCTTGAAACTCAGCTTTGTCTTCTACACCTAGAACACACTGACACACCTCTTCCTGTGCTTACTGCCTCTTTACAATGTGCTGCAGTGGTTTGTGAAGTCCGGGGCGGGGGGAGCGGAGAACACAGTCCCTACCCTTTAGGAGATGGCAGTCCAATGAACATAAAATATGCACATGTGTAGTATCCATTCCAATCCAAGGCAGCAGTCTCTGCCAACTGCCCGAAAAGCAACAGAGACAAGTACTGGAGACTTCAGCAGAGGAAGAGCAATTCTGGCTGGGTGGTCAGGGAAAGAGCCATAGGGAACTTTGACTTGATCTGGGTTTTTAAGAACTTGTCAGAGTTGGGCCTGAGGCTATTTCAGAAACCCAGGGAAAGGCGGCAGGAGCAGAGAGAGGAGAAGAGAATGGGGAGCAGCTTATTTGCTG